TTTTCATAAAAGTCTGCAGGAAAAAATCCCAACTGCACGAACGCCGCCATACTGTTTAGTTGACGTTAAGACGTGTTCTTATTGGATGGAAGAACGTGTACGTCACGCGCTAATCAGCGTGGCTGCGGCACAGAAATAATTCAGTGCGTAAGAAAACTATTAAAATACAATATTAATTTTACTTGTGAATTATTATAAATACTCCTATTTATATAAAAAAAAGTTTTTTATCACCATTAAGAAGTGATATCAAAGTCCGTTTCTGCAGATTAAATTCGCTATAATGAGAGGAAGATATAACAGTAAAAAAAAAAAAACACTTAATTTAGCAACCATTTAAAAGTATTTGTACAGTACTTGTTGGCCTTTCTTACAAAATATTTAACATTTCCAATTTTTGGGATTGCATATAATTCCTTATACATTTCAGACCAACCAAAGCATTTGTTCAATTGCAGCATTTCATGTTTTCACATTTTAGTTGGATAAATGAAGTGATAGGAACAAAATAAAAACAAAACCAGCAGGTTTTAGATCTGTTATGTGTATAAATCTGTTAAAAGTATACAGCCTCTTGACAATGGCATTGCATGAGACAAATTACAACCTTCATAATTCAATTAGCAAAGAATAACAAGTACTTTTTTTATTTGTTAAACACAATGATAACATTTTATTCAAAATAAAATGAACACCGCATGATCCTGGCATGAAAAAACATCATTAAATGATGGATGCTGAACATTTACGGTTATCAGGTTGAAAACGACGTCAGAGGTCATATAAACAAGACATGCGATGGGAAACAGTGGGCACCTACAGAATGAAATCAGAATCATTCTTCAGTCCAGAAACAAACTGTACATTTAACACAAGATCTCCTGCGATCCATGAAGGATGAGTATAAAATCCCTGCTGTGTACAGACGATATAGTCCATGTTTGGTTGGGGTCAGTCGCTGTCATGACTCTGGCGGTGTCGACTGACTCGGGGCTCCGCTGCGTGTGCGCAGCTGTGATTGGGCGATGTCTGCTAGAGCTGACTGGATCTTCTCCAGCAGCATGTCTCCTCTGTAAACTACTTCCTCCAGACGCGCCGCAGCTTCCTGGTTCTCCTCTTCCAACTGCCTCAGACTAGCAGCCTGTGAATCAAATTCAATAACAGAATAGAAAACGTATAAGATTAGGCTTTATTGTAGGGATGTAATGATTCACTCAACTCACAATGCGATGCTGATTTCACGATACAATTTTCTCATGATTTTTTTTACAAAATAAGATTCAAGACAAATTATAAATGAAAAGGTGTCATTTTATTATTTCTCAGACAAAATTCTGCACATTTCTTTGTGAAATTAAAATGTCAAATAACAAAACTAAATTAAAACCTGAAAAAAAATCCCAAATGAATAAATAATACAACTGAAAAGAAATCTCTTCATATAAACAAACAAAGGCTTTGCCTGTGCTCTTTCCATTTAAAATTAGAGGCAACCACTGAATTTTAATCATGATCCAAACAAAGAATTTCGAAATGATACAATCTAATTTAAATTAGAGCATTTAAAAGTGTTTATAACGTTTTAAATATTGATATTTTTCTTACAAAAACACATCGATTCGCTACAGGAGGTCTTTATTCACCCCCCGGAGCTGTGTGAGGCACATTTTATTATGGATGCACGAGCTTTATTTGACTACTTTTGGACTGTTGACAAAAACACCCGTTTACTAGCATTCTAACACTTGGAAGTAGGGATGCACCGATACCGATACTGAGCTCCTGTACTCGTACTCGTTAAAATGCCCCGATACCACACAGCAGGGGCGTAATTTCCACTGGGGACACTTTTTAAAATCACGTTTGTGTCACCCCCCACTTTCAAATTCGTTTGTTATGATTTTTTAACCGCACGCCGTCATCGCCACGGAGGAGCAGGACCGAGCAGGGCACAGACTCACGCGTCCAGGAACGTTGCGTGCACACTCTAAAAATAGCTCAATGAAAGTTCGAATGAGCAGGTATCGCGGTTGCGGCACAGTCAGCGATGAAACGCCAGAAGCAGCAACAGATGACTTTGATGTCATCATGGATGAAAAGAAAGAAAGAAAGGAGATGCGAGTTGGTTGATTCAATAAATTAGCTCAGGTCAGAATAATCATATTTTCTGTCTACACCTGTTAATGTTAGCCTACGTTGACTGAGCTAACGTTAACATACACTGTTGCTAGGTAACAGACTGTTGTTAGCTAAATATTTAATGTAGAACAGTGGTTCCCAAACTGGGGTACGTGAGACGACAGAGGAGGTACGCCAACAAAATGCTGAGTTTTGCGGTGTTTCGTGAACGAATCGTTAGCGAAAGTCATTGATTCAATGATTCATTTATAAATACAGCCACTTGCTTAGTTACTGAATGAACAAATGACTCGATGACTCACACATTAAGACAGTGACTTACCGCCACCTACTGGCGGTTTTAGTATTTAAAAGAATCACTTTTCACTTTTTTATCATCATTGCATATTAATCTATTGAACATTTTTTTTTTAAACATTAACATTCTATTTATAAAGATAAAAAATGCATTGGAAAGTCAATTGAATGGGCTAATTTTCATTTTTGGGTGAACTAACCCTTTAACTGTAAATGGCTCTGTACTCACATAGCATATAATACAGTAAGCACAAAGCCAGAAGTGCAATATAAATAACTTATGCTGAAATATAGGGATATATGGGAGGTAAAAATCCCATTCGTATACCATGATTAAAAAAACCCACACACGCCGAATTCAGTGCTGCTGATAATTTTTATGTTATTAAATCACTGAGTGGATTTGCTTGCATTTGCTTCATGGTATGAGCAGTTAATCGCTTCAAAATAATTTTATTTATAAATAATAATATAATAAATAACTTAATAATTTCTAATAACTTAAAATAAGTTAATTTATATAAATTCATATAACTATACACATACATAAGAATTTATAAGATTTCTGAAGGATCATGTGACACTTTAGACTGGCTGATGGAAATTCAGCTTTTCATCATAGAAATAAATTATATTTTAAAGTAGATTAAAATAGAAACCATTATTTTATATTGTAATAACATTTTGCAAGATTACTTTTTTTTTTATCAAATAAATGCAGCCTTGATGAGCATAAGAGACTTCTTTAAAAAACATTACAAGTCTTACTGATCCCAAACTTTTGACCGGTAGTGTATATTAATATAAATGAACAACAAATTTGTCATATTTGTTTTTTTAGTTTCATTAGTATTGTTTTTAATGTGTCTATATAGTATACATTTTTATTTCAGATATAGTTATTTTAGCACACTAAAGTTAGGCAACTAGCTGAAATTAAATATAATTAAATATAATTTGTATATAGTTAAATATAATTTGTAGCGTAACCGTATTATTTGAAATTATTTCTTTCAGATCTTTTGAGTGCCACTTAACAAATACGGAAGTGCCACCCATATTTTAAAATACAGCTGGCTTGGATAAATATACACATTTCAAGCAGCCAGTCACACTGTTTGTGTATAAACATACCTGCAGTGCGGCAGTAGATTCTTCACTGGGCAGAGAGTCAATCAGCACGTCGACATCTTTTGCTGTTCTTGCGATCAGTGCTGCAAACAGCTGAGCATATTCTAGAATAACACATGAAAACATGTCAGTCAAACACAACACAGCGCTGCTGTAAACTGATGTTTGGTACAGATCTGTGCACCTTCTGTGGGGTTGGAGGGCTGGTCTTTGTTGATGGCAGTCTGGATGTTGCTGAAAGAGGCAGGTGGTGCGCACTGCTGCAGGACTCCAATCGCATTACAGAACTGATCAGCCAGCTAAAACACACCCATCATAGCAATATATCAAACACAGTGCATGCATGCAACCCAATATAACAAACCAACTTTGCATTCGGTTTGTTGGACTTGTCTTTGCACTTTAAACATGTTTAGAGGATTGTTTTTTCAGAATTCAGTTCTAATATTATGTGTCAAACTTCTTTTAATTATTTTTTTATGTAAAAACAAGAGTACATAATATAACACTTATAAAACAATACCGTGGTATGTCACAACAAAAATTTAAATAACAACTACATTATTTATAACAAACCAACTTTGCATTCTGTTTGTTGGACTTGTCTTTGCACTTTAAACATGTTTAGAGGATTGTTTTTTCAGAATTCAGTTCTAATATTATGAATAATGTGTCAAACTTCTTTTAATTATTTTTTTATGTAAAAACAAGAGTACATAATATAACACTTATAAAACAATACCGTGGTATGTCACAACAAAAATTTAAATAACAACTACATTATTTTACATATTTATTTTTTAAATATGTAAAAACAAGAGTACATAATTGAACACTTATAAAACAATATTGTTGCATGTCATAAATAAAATAAAAAACCTAAAATATATATTTATTTATAAAATATGTAAAAACAAGGCTACATAATATAACACAATATTGTGGTATGTCACAAATAAATAAAAAATTACATATAATTTTTTAGTATGTACTGACCGCGATTTTAATTTCTTGAAGCAGCAGTTTGACTTACTTCTAACTTCCTATTTAACATAACATATTTATTTAAATACAGTATTATCTTCTTTCTGTACAAATGAATGCGCAAACTTTAATTGTTTATTTATTCACAACTGCATGCTATGCTAACACCTTTTTACACTACAGTACATTAATGTAACTTCTTACACAAATAATTTGACTTAATGTAACACATGACTGAATACATATGATTTGCACACGTCTGACCTCTTCTGCAGCTTATAAGTCATAAAATTAACATTTAAATGCGTCTTACGGAGTTAACAGCATCCTGAAGCTGCGTAAGCCTGTCCGCCATGTTGGCTCCTCTTGGCCTTTTCCGTTTCCGCCGAGCGCGCTCAAAGCGTCATCACGTGATGCCATACAGTCGCGCCTGCGTACAACAGGCAAAACGTGCGTTGCGTTCCTCTCAAAAGTTGTTGCATTGCAGCGCACCCAAGGAGCGAGTCTTCCGGAGGCTAAACGAGAAGCTTCAGCATGAGTCTCAAATCTGATCGCTGCTGCTAGAGCGTGTTTATGGACTGGACTGATCCAGGAAAATGCCACTGAAGAGAGAATGTTTGGTTTTGCTCGTCTTGTCGTGGGTCAGTTCCCTGCGCGCCCAGGATGAGAGTGAGTAAACAAAACAAAACAAAACATCTTCATCAACACTGATGCGAACGCAGGCATGAAACATGACATGTGGTTGGATTACGAGACAGTAAACCTCCCACTAAATTCACCCTATTATTATTTCTATATGATACTGCAATAACTATTTCGTTTGTCTGAGGTGTATTCATGTTTTCTTATGTCTCTTACATTTGTTTACTGCCTGTATTCTTTAGGAACTAGACTAAACTCGTGTATGAGAGCATCAGCTGAGCAGATTTGCTCACTAAACCCCAGTGATGGTCTTTCTTAACAATGCAAAAAATAAAATGCAACAGAACCTTTAGACAAAATATAAAAGACGTTTGCATATGTGTTTTACATCATATTTGGTACATCAGGCTTTCATGGCTCAATATAGTAGATATATAAAATGATATAAATATCAGTTGTCACTCAATAATAATTCCAATAATATGTCTTAGTAAGATAACATTTAAATGCTTAGCTTAAAGATATAATGCAATCCACTACAATGCTGATTGAGATATGAACAAATAAACGTTCCTCAAAAGCCTGATGATCATATTTGAGACTCAGATTTTAACATGATTTAAAAAATGTTTAAAAAAGATGTCCGGATAATTAAGTAAACTTAAGCTGCTTCAGTCCAGTAAGTGTTCATCTTGAAATATTACTAACAATATCAAAGTTATTTTTACGTTTACTTGATAAAAATCAGATTTGACAGCAAAAAGACAGGTGAAGCACGAGCTGAAGGTGGACATTTGTATAATTATAATAAAAGACCTTGTACTTGCTAAAAAGTTTAAACTATCAATCAGAAGACAGAAGGAATTTAGTGCAACAGGTTTTGATCATGCTGTTAATTTTGAGGCCTTAAATATAATTTATCAAATATGATACCATAGGCTTTACAGGGTTAAGGAAACAGTAGATCTGTAGTACAACGCTTCTGTCTTTTTCTGATGTTTGGAGCATTTGATGATCTCCTGCCTGTCAGGGAAGATGTTGTTGATTTAAATGAGTCTGATTGTTTTTAGTATAGGTCAGTTGTAATTTTGTGCCTCTTCGTAATGTTCTGGTATTTTGTAACAGTGACGTATTTTCATTCAGTGTTTTTTTCCCTCTTTTAATTCTCCTCATTCCTGCTTACGATGCACTGATGACAGTGAAACAGAGCAACGATCCATGAGATGCAATTTAGAGACTATTTCCACATTCCTGAAGGAGAAAGAGAGAGGCAGATTGTTCCAGAGCAGGGAAGTGATTTCAGTCTTCAAGATCTCTGCAGACCACAAAACTTGAACAAATTAACTGGGGATGGAACATTTTTAAAAACGTAGAATGAGTTTTACAGGAAAAACAAGTAAATATTTAGTGCAGGGGTGGGCAAACTTGGCCCTTCCAGGCCACTTTCCTGCAGAGTTTAGCTCCAACCCTAATCAAACACACCCGAACCCTGCTAATCATTGTCTTCAAGACTACTAGAAGGCTACAGGCAGGTGAGTTTTATCAGGGTTGGATCAAATCTCTGCAGGAAAGTGGCCTGGAAGGGCCAAGTTTGCCCATCACTGATTTAGTGGCTTTGCAGCTTATTGCTAGAAATGTTGCCATAAAATGGAAAGACACACATTCCTTCCTACATCCGTGTACTGCATGTAAAGGCATCATCTTGCAGGTTTGCACACAGTGTAGTTGTGATGTACAGCAGGTGTGAGTCATTGTGAAATCAGATGACTTGATTATCATGTCAGATTTTATGGTCGGGCAGGAAGTCAAAGCAACCATGAGCCAACATCTTTCCACACCAAATCACAACTGTCAAAAGCCACTTCCTTATTTGAAGTGTTCACTGGTGTCTCTGCCTGCTTTCAGTTTAAATGCTTTCAGTTTATATATATATATTTGTCAGAATATTCTTGACAGTTTTATGGTTAGAAAAAAATATGGTTGTAAAAAAATTGAGAAAACAGCTCCTGGGGTCAAACATTGAGATTATATCATAATAAGGGCAAAGAAAAATCAGATATTGATTCAACTGTGTTCTTGTATGTGTTTTGCAGACCGTGTGCTGTTTTCTCTGGGAACCTTCCAGAACGTGAGTGTCCCAGTGAACGGGACGGTTCAAGCTGTCGTTTCCCGGGTTCCCGCTGACGTTTCCTTCTTAACACTGCAGTTTCATACGCATCACCGCAATGTTACACTCTCATATACACTGGTAAGAGATCACACACACACAGCAGTGCTGTTTGCACAGGCATGCACTCTCACACGCATACACAGCACTGTCATACACAAGAAAGAAACACACACACACACACACACACACACACACACACACTAGGGATGCACCGAATGTTTGGCAACCGAAATCTTTTGGCCAAAAATAATAAGCGAAAAGACCGAAGAAATTGTACCGAACAATGACGTGACGCTATCAAATAGCAACCAGTGCAGAGTGAGGGGTGCACACTCTTTACAGTATTATGCAACAAACATGTCAGCAGTGTGGAAGCATTTAAACTGTCTGAGACAGACGCAGAAATCCTTACAAGCACCGACAGCGAGAGACTGTTTAGTACTGCATCGCATGTCTTCGATGAGAAGAAGACAAACTGCAGAACGTTATGTTTTCTAATACACGCATGCATTCCATGTATTCTGACAGCGCTGCACGAACTCGCAGCGAATCTGCTTGTTAACCAGGGTTCAAAGTCCAAAGCGCAAGGAAAATCTGCGCTGAACCAGGTTACTCGTCAGTTGCTCAGTCACATTTTTATGAATTTTTACAAGGCATGTGACAATGCGACACGTGCAACGTATTCGTAATGAGACTTATTTATAAATCTGCTGTTGTCAACAAAAAGAAGCACTGAGGTCTTCCTGCGTGTTTCCGCCAAAATAAAAGTTGACAAAAAGCAAGAACTCCAACATTCATAAATGTTAGTATTGTAATTTTACTGTTGTTCTGTCAAATAAAATAAAAAGTAAGACAATAAAAATGATAATAATTACAACAGCTCTGTTAATACATTTATTATAACATACACACATAGTGTTCAAATTGGGATCTGTAATATTTTCTAATGTTTTAAAAGAAGTCTCTTCTGCTCAGCAAGCCTGCTTTTCATTTTACAGTAAAAAATACATGCCTGATTCAAGAAGGGGGTCTGATCATCAAAAAATATTATTTTAGTAACTTATTAATTTTAAGTTAAATTGTGCTTTGTTGGTATAATGTCTGCTAGAATGTAAAAAAATGTTTAGTGTTAAATATTTTTAAATTGTTGTTTTGTAATTGATTTTTTCTTTGAAAAGCAAGACAAAACCGTAAAAAGCACATTTTCGATTTTATTAAATTTTTTTTATCAAATTTAATTTATGCAATGATGAAAACAATTGTTTCACCAGTGTTTCATTTTGTTCGGTTTCGGCTTCAGCCAAGAATTTTCATTTCGGTGCATCCCTAGCACACACCCCCAGCTGACCCAGTTCCATGGGTTGATCAAGCAAGTCATCGTGTGAGAGTCTAATCACAAGCTCTGATCTCCACACACACACACACACACTCCTCCATGCATTCTGTTCATAATGTCAGCAGTCATGCAGCTGTAGTGCTCTGACACAAACCCCAGTTCAGACACAGAGTTGAAGTCAATATTAAATGCTGTTCGAAACGAATGTTGCGTCTATAGAGTGCAATTGTGCTGCCCACTTTTTCAGTGGCCTTGGTTCTGGTAGTATTTTTCCTATTTATTTTTCACATGGATATTAAAAAATGGAGAGGCTGTTAAATAAAACTAAAGCAGAAACTGTTAAAAATGTTGCTAACTTAAATAAATACTTATTTCAGTTACGTTGTGTGGTTTAAGTACAAGCACTAAAATAACTAACTGGAAATAAATAAAAACTAAACCTGAATTAAAAAAAAAAAATCAAATCTAAGTAGTAATATTTAATAAAACTAAAGTTAAAAAAAATGACAAGCACATATAAAAATTAACAAAAATGAAAAGGAAAAGTGAAAGTATAAAAATAAAAGCTAAGTCAAATTATTAATAAAAACTGCAGTAGTATATAAATAATACTAGTCTCTGATTGGTGGAGATTTCTCTGCAGAATCATGGATAATGTAGGTTTTCATCTGGAATTCTGTTGAAATAATTACCTCATAACTCACAGTAGGCCCGTCTTGAATTTATCTTTAAGTTATTTTTAAAAATCAGTACTTTTGATTTTTACTTAAGGAACCTGACTGTTGCGGTCTAGCCTGGTGTAAATCCAAGTAAAACCAAGTGAATGTAGGACAGGGCTTGAATGGTTGCACTTTGCTTGTATTTGTTGCATAATATTCTCCACCTGACCTTTATTCCTCTAGAGTGTGTGTATGTGTAGATGTCCATTCATAGGTTGTGTTTTTTGTGTATTGGTCAGATCCCACTTTATGGTTTTTCGGTCACTGCAGCAGATGCTGGTCTGTTATCCAACTTGACACCGAGTCAGACCACCGTCTCCTGGTTCCTGAAGACCCCCGACGGGAGCAGCGCAGCAGGAATTGGTGTGATTCTGCCATACACCAGCACCGGTTAGAGAACGAACTCTTTACTTGCATGCCAACACGAGCAACACAAATTACTTGAATGAGCAACACATACACTCTCATTATCAACAGACTATTGACTGTAATACAGTACATTCAGTGTGTATGTGTAATGTGTGTGCGCAGATCCAGTTCCTGGAGCCTGTAATCAGGAGTTCCCGCTGGAGATTGATCCAAACATCTACCTGCAATACAACCTGTTTGAGACCATGATTACCTTTGCACCTGCTAACATCGGATATGGAAGGTGAGAGGAATTTAATAAAATCATGGACTTTTAAAGGGTCATGAAACCCCCTATTTCAGCATTGGTTATTGAGTTAAATGCATCCAATGTTTCTAAAAATGCATGTTGAATTTTACCGTTACATGCAACAGAATGAACGAATGTATTATACATAGCTCACAGTAAATTACACAGAGATATTATTTAATGCACAAATAAATAAATGCACAGCCGGTTGCATTCGAATACATGTATATATGAAAGCACGGTTGCTTTTATAATAGCTTTAGACACTATTATTTTTATCTCACAGTTTGAGGCATCTGTCATAGGAAATATGTGTTTTCATGAATAATTAAAAGAAGCGCCATCCTTTAAATAATTATGAGGCACTGATGAGTCATTGATGAACTATAATGTGGGAAAACATCACATCCTAATGAAGATTATAAACCTAGAAGATGAACATAGTGCAGAAAAGCTCAAAATTAACCAGTTTTCTCCTGCAATTAAAATGAATTGATGCTGATATTGCTTTCTGTGATGTGCAACACAAATAATGCAGTTTAGTGTTTCTTGGCCTGGAAGATCAAATGTTCATTAGTCGATCAGTCTAAATCCGATGATGTTTTTCAGAGGGGAGATTCCCCCGGCGTGTGACGTGGACATGGGCTCCAGCACTCGTTGGCGATTGGTGTATGAGGTGTATCAGTACTTCCTGCCGGAGGGCGACCTGTCGGAGCAGAGTCTGATCAGCAGTTTGGAGAAAGTGGCCAATGTGCAGAACGTGCAGGACAACAGCAGAAAGGTGTGTGAAATCTCTCTCTGTCCTTCCTTACCACTTTCTGCTAGCTGTTGTAGCTGTTATCTTTTTTAGTGAGTTTACAATGTTTGTTTCATGACCTGGCACGTTATCACCCTTAGTTTGGTTGGTTTAGGCATATATGAACACACACTCACACTCGGATCCGCACCAAAAAAATCGGTTCAAGATCGCCTGAACTCTCTTAACATATGCATAATAAAACATACATATACTCAAACAATCCAAAAATATAACATATAAATGGAAAAAATATATATATGCATACATTAAAAATATATATATATTTTATATA